GTCGCTCAAGCATGGCCTCAGTTCAAATCGACGGCGTCGAATTCACAATTGGTGTATAAGTGTCAAGTGTCAAGTAAACAATCGTCTTTTGTGGTCTTTGGAGGGCTGAAGTCTTGTTGTTGATTACCGATATCGAATCTTTTGGTTGCCAGTTTGGTATTACTTACCTACATGATTGGTTGTACTTAGACTGGTCTACTCTCCAGTCTCAAGGGTTTTCTTGGGGAACAACATGGAACAATTGTCGTTCTCAGAAACGATAGAGATGAACGGCCACCCACTTCGTAGTTGCCTTGAGGCCTTTGGGACACAGAGTTCACAGGAAAACAGGTGCAAGAAATTTGCGCATGTGTTTGCAGAGCTTCTGGAGGTTTGAACAAAGTTCTTTTGGACTCAGTGTGTGCTCCAACCAGGTTGCTTCAGGAAGTCCACTGCGTCTTAAGACCAGGCAATGATAAATTTTCAAATGTGTGGGCATGCCGTCAAAGGTTTGATATTAAAGATATCTATAGTCTATAAGTTATAATTTTACATAAGCATCTGAGAGGGAAGTGGATTTTAATGGAAAAAGAGAGAAACTTCCCCAGGGTTGCACGTAGATTCGGGAATGCAACTGAGGGTGTCAAACACGCAATGGAAAGGCTCCCAGAAACAATGGGTTAGCAACCAATGGTAACCATGACAGTGGGGGTGGTTGGGTGTTGTTTTTTTCTTTTAACCTTGTTGTTTGACATGCCAATTCCGCAGTGTTAGAAACCTTTTGGGTGCCCGTGGATGTGGGTGTTTACTCCAGGCCGCATCTGGCGCTTGCCCCCGGAAGAGCGGCCGCAAGCCTTGAAGGCGACATTTTCCCGGTTGGGCGGCTGAAGACGGGCTCTGTTGAGCCCAGGTTGGGTGTGGTGCAGTGTTGTGCAGTGTCCATGTAAAACTTATCATATCCTGTCATGTAGACTCATGGTTGAGAACCCTTCCGACCCTTCCTATGAATAGGTTTCACAGGCCAAATGGGGTGGTTAATATCAATTAAGAGTCTACATGAAGTCAGTACTCATTATCATATTATAGGCTATAGGCTATAGGTTTAGGAATAGGACAATGTCAGAGGATGATTCTGTGGCGGGATCCCACCGTCCAACAAGGGAGTGTTATCGCTATCGAGTTATTCAGGATGTCGACACAGGTGAAAAATGGACCTAGACAGGGACTTCTGTACAATCAAATCTGGTGAAATTTCTCCACACAGCCACCGTTCCAATGGATCTGAACAGACTAGTTACGACCCCATAACAAAGACAATCCTGCACAGCCTCATAGAGCAGTCGGACCACACACTACGTTTAATCACATGAAACCACACCAGATCACCACATTTTGCCTTCCGGGCACCATCCCACAATAAGGGCCACATACCAAAACCACCTCTAATTGTATAACGATATATATAACGATTCAAAATCTCTGTATACAGCTTTGACCTCCAAAAGCTCGGCATTTACTGGATATTCTCTTTGAGGCAATTCTCCTGTCCCATTGAGTGGTGTTCATTGTCTACTGCCCAATCGGCAGGTCTCAGGATGTTCAAACGTTTGCCCAACCCAGCAGGTGTTTTTTTGAGGGGGGCGGCGTCGGTCGGTTTCTGGTGCCAGGAGTGGTTTCATGACAAGTACTCAGCCGGAGGCTTGGCTTAAGCCACAGGGAGGCATGAGCCTCGGATCAATAGCAGAATGAAGACCCAGATCTTGAATAGTGAAGATTTGCGATGGACTTGAAGGATGTGACTTTGTTCCAGGCCCGGCAGGAGGCGCTTCGAAGCTGTGATCAGTCCACTCAGTCATAGATACTATGATGTCATGTGCTTTCTTGGCCGAAATGCCTGCTAGAGTCGAGCTCAGAGTCAAGCTAGTCATCCAGCCACTGAACCCTGATGGAGAATTGGATTGTCCACAAATCGATCCAATGGTCCAAGATGGGGTATGTTTAGTGTGGTCCACCATGTATTTCATCCGTCCTCATCTCAGCGTTGCAGAGGTCAATACCATTTGGCAGTATCGCGAGCCGCCGGCCGCGATCGGCCCGGTGCCTGAGAAAAAAACCTGCACTTGCTGCACGGAAACACAAGATTGTTCAGGAGAGGTGGGTCGTCCGGGACGAGCCGAACTGGAGTGGTATTTTGCCAAATCAACTATGACATGCATACTTACAGTATCTGAAAGCTCATATGTATGACCGTAGTGACTGTGTCAACATGGCTGCCACTATGACCGAACGGGAGTGGCCACTGTGTCAACACAGGCTTTACCTATACATCGACTCCGGCAGTTGTTGTATGAGAAACGTTCCTTTGGTGGATAAGTGGAAGCAGGACGCAGCAAGTGGAAGCGTGAAAGTGAAGGGGTCATTAGTGGTTGACATGCCATGGGTTTCGTCACTCAGATGAAAATGGTGTCAATTCTCTTGGTTTTTGGACGCTACTTACTTGGTTTTTGGATCCCTCACTCTTGAATGGTTCCCACCCGGGCTGTAAAAGAGAGGCCCTTCGGTCCGGGCTGAACACCGGTGCTGACCAGATGAGTCCACCTACGTAGGGCCCCGGATCACCAAGCGGACGGACGTTTTGCGGAGGCGACGACCCTGTGTTGCGACGTCCGTCGGGACTGAGAACGGGCGAAGCGGATCTTGAGAGAGATCAAGACTCATTTTGTTTCGGAACATGTTAGAGATCCTCTCAGATCTGGTGAAATCCTCTCAGATCTGGCGACTGGCGACATACGGACGTCCAAACTTCTTGGCTTTTTCTCAACAAGCCCAACCGATTCCACCGATTCTTAGTCGGCCACCCAGGCAAGCACGAGGTCCTTTGAGTACCCACGCGTGCTGGGGCCGGACAAAATGGAAGGACTCAAGCAGGGTCCGTACAGAGGTCGCGTGCCGGCCGGAAAAAGCTGCCACAACAGAGTCGCTTGCGAGGAAGCAACTCGACTAGAGGTCATAGTTTCACGACCTCCAATGCTGTTCATGGCTAGACACTTCCACTGAGAACTCCCAAGCAATGTGTTCAGTTCATAGACTCCCCCGCCCCCACCATTTGTTGACCATGTTCACCTGCACGGGTCCATTCGATGGCTGCTCAGGCTCAGGCTGAAAATGGCTGGTCTTGGGTCTGGCGGGTGATGGGAACATCAATCCATCTCGATCTTCAAGACCCGGAGCAAACCAATCCTATAAATACCCTCTCACCATCTCTCACCCAATGGTAGAGGAAGGGTTGGCATTCCCGACCAAATGGTCCGCTTGCACGGGGGACACCGGAAAAGAATGAACGCAATGGTCCGGTCGTGATGGTTTGGTTCTCCGAATCTATTCAGTTCAACTGAAGGGATGCACAAGCAAAGAAGACAGCAACATATTTATCATACCGTGGGTGACCAACAGGCATCGCACAAACAGTCGGTTGTATTTGGTTCAGTGTCCCCAGTTCAGGTAATTCCGGACTGGATCGTTTTTAGATGCTTGGAGGTGTCATCTCTCATGCCAGAACCCAGCTCGCCATGTCATGTCATTTCTCAGTAATAATTATCAGCATCAAACACAGATTGATTGACCTGTTGCGCAACGCATACGCCTTGTCACTGAGAACCAAGTAATCTCAATCAACCAAGATCGGACTGCCTGAGCCACAAGTGGTGCCCGATGTTCGACATGCCCGGGCTTAGACACAGTAGTTTTGATCAAGGGCATTCCGAGAAGAAGCAAAATGCTACTCGCTTTTCTTAGAGGGGCCCGAGGGGCGCTGGCGAACCCGCTCGGACGCTGTTCAATTACCGCTATGTTTAGGATTTAGTCCAGCAAGACATCTTTCCCAGATAGACATCTAGAATCTAGATATCGCAGCTACAATCCATGCTGGTGCAAGCACCTAGCTCATCGACTCGCCATGGCGCAAGATGACAGTGCTGGTCGAAGCTTTGACTTACCAGAGGCCTTCCTGGATTATCTCACGAGCACTCCTTACTCTGCTGAAGAATATCACGCTCTTCTTCAAAGCCCTGAGGAGCCAAAGATAGCCGGAGTATTGATCAGGGACATGGGAAAGCAAGGGATTGTAGGACAGGTAAGGGAGAAAGCGATTGGTTGCATTTGAGGTGGAAGAGATCATAGGATGTTCATGCTGTGTACTTCTGGACGATTTGTTTGAATGCATGAAGAAACTGAACCACTTGGGAGTGAACCTTCTCGAATCAACCCAAATAACGCATTGATGTGCCAGTTGGAAAGTCAATCGTAGTCGTCGTAGTTGCTCCCCTACCATACTGTGTCAGTAGGATTCCTTACTGCAGTACCATCAACCATGGTTGGATGAATGCTAGCAATACAGGAGCTGGTGATGTCTTCGCCTCAGGCGTTGGACGACTTGGTTCTTCTACCCAACAGAACTTGTCCCCTAGACCCGCACCACCCAAAGAATGTTTGATAGACCCCCTGACCATGCATTGTCCATCCAATAACCACCCTTTGGGGATGCTGGCATAATAGCATGTTTCTGTTTCTTTGATTTTCTCAGAGGACTTCTCAGTTCTACCATTGGATGGACCATGATAGGGGTCCAAACACCAGCCCCAAAATCGAGATGCTACCAAAATATACTGTAATACCAAAATGACCATGTCACTATGTCCTTTCAGGGAACGCATCTTTCACACACACATATATATATAATGTTTACCAGCCCTTTACTCGATATGCTAACTGCTGATTCACCATGAACATCTCAATCGCAGACATCACCTCTCTTTCTCTTCCCACTCTCTAGTACTCGTAGGTTGGAGGCCCTCGCTCTTAGGTTGGAGGCGCTCTGAGGCTCTTCCACCCTCTCCAACCATCCCACCGTCTCCGGAATCCAAACCTCCCAACTTCCCAGGAGCGCTACGTGCGCATCCGCGACCCCACTCTCAGCCTCGCCACCATCGCCCAGCGCCTCCAAGTCGACGTGACCGAGCTGGTCGAGGTGAGTTGGACGAAGCGCTTCGCGCAGCGACATCCCACGCTCCGACGCTCGGCAGGACTGGTCCGCAGTCACGAGGCGACTCGGTATACGGCGACTCGGGTTCCGGCGTAGTCCAAGGTGTTTGTCGGTTTGTTGAAACCTAAAGAAGAACACACACAGCTATACTGTAACGTTTTTGGAAGGCTCCTGGTGTTTGCTTGAAGGGCAAAGAGATGCAACAGGTATACGCTACATTAGATATGACATGGGTACGATGTCATGCATCGCATGCCTTTTTTGTTTTTGCACTGCACAGACACCATGTTTCCGCGTCGTCTTTTTTTGTTTGCGAGTTTGCCTTGTTCCAGTCATTGGACAATGCAGGGGTCCCCGGTACTTCTCGGCGTAGAGGGTGATGTTGGGGGACGATGGGATGTTCGAGATGTTCATGCTGCGCGAACTGGAGCTTGGTTTCAACGATTTCCAAAATTTGGCATGGCATGTCTTTTTTATCCTTTTTTAAATGCGTCCTGGCACTGGGTTGGTCAAAAAGAAGGTTTCAGGACTTGAAAGGAATGCCATGATTTAATGACTGCTCCTTTGCCAGGGTGGAACTTGACTGCTCCTTCAATGCCTTTGGTCCCGAGGAGTGGAATGCGGTTTTGAGGTCCATATGGAGGTGGAATGCCACTGAAAACACTTAATTTGGTCTTTGCGACTTGCAGACAACCAAGCGTCCAAGGTCCAAGCATCCCACATCACGTACCACCAGTGCTTCGGTTCTATTTTCAGTCATGAACGATGTCCTGGATGTGCCAGGTTCAGACGGTCAACCCGGTCAAGCAGTGCTGTAGCCTTGATTCTTCAAAACCTCAGTCAATAAGTCAGTAGTCAGCACCCCAACAACAACAACAACCATGGCAAGGGAATATATGTGCCTACATGCACCCCGTTTTCAACCACTGAACCTTTAAGCTCAATCTGCAATTCCATCCATAATACCAAAAATCGCCCTAGACCATTCTGCCCCCTCTCGCCTCGCCAGACCATTCTCCGGTTTCCCTACCAGGTGTCTTCCGGATTCCTGAGACGGCGGCGGTGCGTCAAAGCGACCGAGCGTCGAAAGCGTCGAAAGCGACTTCTCCCGGGCGTTCGAAGGTTTGGATGTATTGAAGATGAAAAGGAAAGTCTCAAGACCCACGGTTTCCCAGCAGCAGTTGATCACCATGCTCTCCATATCTCTCCATATGTTTCACGTTTCCTGGCATGAACGATCCAACTCAAGCGAATCGGCAAAAGGTCATGACCTTGTCATGGAAGTGAAGAGCATGACGGTCATCTCTATGCGGTTTCTGTTGTTTTGCAATGTTTGACCGTGAGAACATTCTGCAACACTATATGCATCATGGTGAGAGCACTTCTTTCTGTGATTTCTTGTTGATGAACATGGGAGTTTGTATATGCTATATAATTGACCTGATAAGATATGCTCCATTCAAGATCAATCAACCGCGGCATTTCAATATGTTTTTGGGTACATCATGGTACCTCCCACTGCAGTCGACATCTGGCACTTTTTAAGTCCTTTCTGCTACTTGGGTGACATCCCTTGACTCCCAGACCTGTTGAAGCATTTGCAGCCTCTTCAGAACTACTGGCATTTGGCTGAAATCCCACAGACACTTCTGGGCAAAGCGGCAACCCCCCACAGAAACCATTATAAAGTACGATTATATATGTTACTTTATATGCATCCTCGCGCGGCCGCAAGTCAGAGGTGAACATGTGGAAGGACGGACATTTCAAGCCGGCTGTGTAGTTGTAGAGGCCTTGTAGCTTCAATTTATTTTTCTTCCACCACCAAGTCTTTGGGGACTTGAACTGAGCCGTTCGAGTCGAGTCTGAAACGCAGATGGCGATCCCAGGCGATCTTTATGACTCCGGAGACGTCTTCGGCGTGGACGCGTCCAGCATCGCGTGTGTGGGGGCCTTGGATCCGGAGCCCTGTGACCATGTGCTGGAGTGGCTTGGACTTGAAGGTAAAGAGCTGGAGCTGTTAACCCAATACTCCATGTTTACATACGTTGCGGTGGTTTACCAGGGGTCAATGAGTCAATGTAGGTCAATATGCCTTAGAGAGTGTGAGGGACGGAGCTAAAACCATCCATGGCTTGGATACCATCCGTTCGGGGTGTCCTGGCTGGACGAGATTCTATACGGCCATACACATGTCTTAGGGATCTCCAGAAGGGACACCCCTTGAAAGTGTTTCTTGCCGGGACCCGCGCGGGTCCTGCGTAGACTGCGATGACCAAGAAGGAGACCAAAGTGAGATTCATATTTTGAATCGATGTTACCTTTGCTTTTGCTTGATGTTGGATTTGGATTTTGAAGGTGATGTTGGGTCACTTGGTCTTGCCATCCAAGGATTTGTTGCGCGCCCGGCACCAAGCTGTGTTGCTTGGCGGACCTGTGCACGGTCACTGGCGTGGATATCAATCGCCAGCGACTCACGGTGGCTCGAAGCCAGGTGAAGCGATGTAAGTTGAGCAACTCGGTCATTTGGATGTGTTCAGATAACTTGTTTCCTATTTGCCGAACACACTGAGGGTTTCTTGGGTTCGATAGATTTATCGTTTTGGCCCTTGCGCCCCGGCCATGGAGTTCCGTGACCCGGAAGCTCCACGGTCATCCTAACATGGAAGTGGATGGCGTGGGCTCTTTTTTCATGGGGTGAACTCCGCTTCCATGTTAGTGGGTCGGAGTCGGAGTGTACTTGTTTGCATGTACACTATGATTGCTCTATCATATGTTCTTGAAAACATACAAAAACACATTCAGCGGAATACATACAGAGCCTCTGAGCTATGTTCTTACAAACAAGAAACCTACAGAACTGTAAGATGAGTTGACCGGACTAAGGTCGACATAGACCTAAGCATGGCTCGAAACCTTCTCCGATGTTGCCTTTCCGAAAGCTTTGCCGGCTTTGCCCAGTTGGGGTCTGGCTGCTTCAGCCTTTGGTTGTACCTATATAGGTTGACCTCCCAGGTAGTCTATTCATTTGCCGTGGTCTTCTTCCGGGTCCCCGGGGTGCCATGGCCCAGAGCCATTCCCAACTCCAAGGTCAAGGGCCTTTGGTTGGCTGATGGTCGTTCTTGGGCTGGCGATGGGCAGGAGTTGATGTCCGAGGGCTTGACTCCACGAGATCGCAAGCAGACGAGGACCGCTCGCGCGTCTCGCGGCACGGGCGGCTGTGGACCAGCGTGGACCGGGCTGTGGGCGGCTGTGGCGCCACGAGGACCTCCTCAGGGTATGTTGAATCCAACATCGTGCAGAGTCGTTCACCTTTACAAACCATCATCTACACAATGAACCTATTGGTGAGGTCACCATATATTTCCTCTTTGGTGACCTCAACTTATTGGTGGTTGATACCAGGCCTCCGACTCTACAATAAGTCACATGCAATTCTCAGCATCAAAAGAACGGACCTGCAGCCTTGTTGGAGGTTGCTAGAAGACACTGGTTGGTGGGTCATAGGGGGACATAGTGACTGTAGGGGGCTATGTTTGAAAAACACCTGGATGTTACAGCTTGTTTTTTCACCCGCAGGAAGCGTCCAAAAGTTGAAGCCTTTGCTCCAGACGTCTTCGATGGTGTTTTGGTGGATGCTGAGTGTGCTCATGACGCTGGGCGAACAAAAGTTGCAAAGTCGCGCAGTCGAGCCCCCGCAGTTAACCTATGTGCTTGAAGATCCAACTGACTGACGTAATGTAGACTGTTGGTTCATACAACCCTCCCCATTTGGCTTCAAACCTGTTCAATTGGGGTGGTTCTATTAATATATTGGGTGCTCGACACGACAAGCACAGCCAAATAAATTGTACGCACCACCTAGATCCTTTTGGATCTGTTTGGAAGGACCTAATGGAAGTGGGAAACCACCTGTTTGCAGAGGAAAATGGTCATCAAAGGGCCCATTTTCCACTTCCATGATGATTTCTGTCTTGACAGGGAACCATCGATTTGGACTATCCCTCAGTTAACACTCACAAAATAGACAGCAGTTCCAAAGATCAAATGTACGACCCAGGGTCTCGTCTACCTGGGGATGGTTTTAAGTTGGGGGCACTTGCAAGGTTGGTTTCCTACCTGTATGTACGATGTTGTTTATTTTCACCTCTCCAGCCAAGCAGACACAATATGATCAAATATGTGCAGCCATGCGGACTCTAATTTGGATCTAAAATTGCTTGATCAGATCTAAAAGGCCTGCCGTTGGAATCAAGAATGCGTTTCTCATTGAGGGTCCAGCACAGCAGAAAGCGTTTCTTTCACCGTCGAGAAAGCACTTCTCGCCGCCCTGCCGGATGACTGGTGAGACGATGGGCATTCTACCAGAGCCACCATTTTCAATGGGCATTCGATATAGAATATATGTATATATATATATAATTGCGTTGTGTGTGTTGATCGATATAGAATATGTGATAACTTGTGATAATATGTGTTTAATTTTTCACATGTGTTTCACAGGAGATATGACCAATCGCCACATCGCATGTTTCGCCGCTGGACTCTGTTTCGACGAGAGCTTGACCGGCCATCCCGTGCCGACATGCGCTGAAGATGAGGATGGATCGCTGAAGCACATTCGGAAGTTCTTTGACGAGCGAGGGAAAACCTCAAAGCTCCAATCTTTGGAGGAGCCAGGGAGCCCTGTTGGTGGACCCAGTGTGCACCGAACTGTGATGGTGTGGACCATTCAGGATTCCAAATGCTTGACGAATCCCAACAGGGAACGATCTTCTGGTACCCCTCACCCCCAAGCATCTCCTTTGCTGATCTAGCTGCGATGTCTTGGGCCATCTGGGCTTTCTAGTTTGGGAATCCAAGTCACTTGATCCATTTGCTGGGAGCAGCCCAGTTATTTGAGGCGTCCCAGTTTCTTTTGGGTTTCATTTGCCTGTCCTTGTACTGGGCACGTGCGGTTCCGTTGCACTGCCAACGGCACCCACCTTCTTCTCGAGACTCTTCTCTCAAGGAGCACATGCCTTGGCTGAGCGAAGCGAAAAGGACAGAACTGGCACAGCTCCAGTTTGAGCTGCTTTGCAGGGGTTTTCAGTTGCTGAAGGAGGGTGGAAAGCTGATCTATTGCAACTGAGAGGGAATTAGATGGCTGTACGTTTGGGAGAATGTATATATATATATATATAATGACCCTGCATGTTTCTTGGAAACAATAGGAACAGACAGCACGCATTGAAACTCCATGAAGTTTTCAAATGTCCAACACAGTTTCCTTGCATTTTCGGGTTTTTGGGTACACATTGGAGTTCTTACAGGATGCTTTACGTCAGCATTTGTCATTTTGCCATACTCGATCCATGTTATGACCGTTTCTGCAGTCCGTGCGACATGCCGAAAAAAAACAAAAAACACAACGTCCCAAGGTACGTGCTCCTTCTCCGAGGCGCAAAACGAGGAGGTGATCCGTCGCTTCTTGGCCCAGGAACCCAGGGCTCAGATGGACCCATTGCCCTGGGAGATGCCCGAGAATCCTGTGGAAAGGTCAACGCCGGAGCCGGAGCCGGAGATGAACGGCACGTTGACTGCGCGGGTGCTGCTTGGGGGAGGGTCAGAGTCGCAGAAGACTTCGAGTGGGAAAATCACTTACACCAGATTACACCCATCTGCTGACCAGACCAACACTTTCCAGATCTTTTCGGTAGTGTGAGAGTCAAGAGGCCAGGGGTTCTTATGGACCCCATGAATACCTCCACCAAGAAGAGAGGTAGCCAGTGACCTGAACTAGGACCCTACTGGGGTACCTAATTAGGGGATAGTCTAGTTCGGGTCCTTCAACCTCTGGCAGGTGCGGAAGCTCCTGCGAAGCCCAGAAGTGCCGTGTCGCCCGGCCTTCGACCTCCCACCGGGCACCGCGTGCCGCTTCGACCCGCAGCGCAGCGCCACGGGCGCCCTGTTCATCGCGCGGCTGCGGAAAGAGCACGGCGGAGAGGGAGTGGGGGAGGGATGGTGAGAAGGACTGACAGCTCGTGGTGGATGGGAAGAAACAAAACACAAAGGGAAAGACTCATTTTGGTGGGAACGTTGATATCAAGGATACCTTAAGATAAGATGGCTTAACATCAGCGTCATGACGCTGGTGCAGTGCCATTACATGGCCATTGCACATCATCTGAGTCCGAACCGGCAGACAGCGGAGGCTGAACAGTCCAAACCCCCTTCTTCAGACTGAAGGGAATCACGCACGGAGGTTACTTCGAACTCTCGCACCTCGGGCGGGGAGAGAATCGAACACCCACGGGGTTTCAAGGACCGGGTGATGTTTGACCCAACCGAAGTTCAATGACAAAGGTGGATTGGACCCCATGTTCTTGGATGTTTTGAAGCATGTTGAAGTCGCAGTGCTGGGACATGTCGGTGGGGCCAAGCATTGGTACATTCACCTCTGGAAACGACCGATGGAAGAGATCCTGCACCACCAAGAATACAGGGAAAACTACGGATATTTCCCAGATCTTTGCGATGCTGGGGTGTTCCAGGTAAGATTTCTTCATACATATGGGGATGGGCTATCGGTCAAAACCTGGAGCCTTGGTCCACGTAGCTTGGTCAAGCTGTTGGTATTTACTTGGTCAGCTTGATCCACAGCCATGGCCTGGGAGGTTTGGCTCTCGTTTTGGTCGTTCGCTGGGTAGAGAGACCGTAGACACACCCATCCCTGGCCGCCCTGGCCTTCGTTGAAGCCGCTCAAGCTACGTCCCAGCCCATACGTCCTGCTGCACCAGCCCAGTCATCTTAGATCTGACCACGAGTGAAAAGACCCAACCCACCAACAGGCAAGATCTGTGTGTTTCCAGCTCCTTTTTTGTGGTCAAGGTTGAATCTTTAATGGTCTGAAGCCTTCAGCTTAAGGTCATGTCCTACAACGAAAAAACCTACACCGCTTACTTGTGTTTTCATTAGTTCCGGTTCCAGGCGAGGCAGGATATTCCTGACCCTGAAAGGAAGAAACCTTGAAACCACAGATTTGGCCCAAACTCCCAGAGAGAGGCATCCGGATGCTGAACCACCACCCCACGCCGTCCATGGCTGCCCGGTCATTGCGCACCTTCGGGCCTCAAAGAAAACGCCCGCAGATGGGGAGCCAAAGAGCTTCCGAACGACACAAAAGCGGTCGACAGCGGGTCTAGATAGAGATGTCTAGAGAAATATCAAAAGAGATCAGCTTCGACAGAAGGTGACCATTGCTCACAGATGTGAACTGCTTTGCCTGTTTGGGGCGTTTGATGATTCACATCAGGAAAATTGTCCATAGTTCCAAGATCCAGTGTACACGTACGTAGTTACTGTACATGTGCAAACATTCATGGATTCAACTTGGGGTGTGAGACTTGATAAGATCTTGGTTTGGGAGTTCACTTGATTTGGATGCATTTGGCAGCTGCTGTGGGTGTGAACCTGGAAGAGAGTTCGCTCTCTCCAGATTTCCGGCGAACCCAGCCAGAATCTCATGGGTCGAGTCCTTGCCTTAAGCAAGAAGCTGGGCCAGTGGGGCATCTTCTCGTCGATCGGCCACTTGGAAGCCAAACACATCGGCCGCAAGAGACGAAGACTCGTCTCACCTATGACCCAGCGTGTTTTTGCATATGTTTGGTAGACATATACGAATCACAATCCACTCTCAGTGATGACGTGACCTATGCGAAAGATGCTCTAAAAGAAAGGGAGCGATGCTGATCATATTACTGAGTTCCACCTGTGGACCGCCCGTTCACAACAGAATGATTTATTTCTGTGCCACTGATGTTGTTTTGCCGATGGTGAAGGAGCTGGTTTCTTGGGAGGGTTGGAGTTTTGAGGCTGCTTTCAGTGGTTCATTCTGGGGTCTGGGTCTGCCTTTGGCGGAGGATCCAGCGGAGCAAGCGGGTCAGCTGCTTTGAAGCACGAGTGGCCGACGGGTGCCTTAGCCTCCCAGGAATTCACGTGGCGCGCTATCAGGGCGGTGACTATCTCGCCCAGAGCCGGAGAGCCCAGTAGATGAGATGCGAGGAGAGCGAGGAGCGTTTGGGCGGTGCTTGAGGGGTGAGGTGTGATTTTCCCGGATACATCCCCGAAACTGGTGTTTTCGGGTGAGTATTGATGATCGTCAATTTTTCCTAAGGGCTCCACAAGATCCCCATGATTCAAGAAAGACATGGGCAAGCCGCAGGACTGCCTGAACTCAGAAGCATGGCCGGGAAAGAATTGGTTTCCCTTCCTGTTTTGGCTCAGCTTGAGCTTCATGTTCATGACTGCGACCCTTGTTTCAACAAAAGGTCAAATTGTTGAGTTCATGGCCTCAATAGCCTCAAAAACCTCCCATTTTCCATTTTGAGATAGATCTGGCTGCTTTGTTGGAGACAGTGCGAATAAGTATCACGTTTACAGCTACGAGTCCAGCTAGCGGTGTTTGGCATCAGTTTGTGGTAACCATAAAACCTTTAGAGGCCTTCCCAAAACCTGAGGCTGCAATGTGCAAGGTGCACCCACAAAACTCCAGAGATGGTGCTTGGTGCGGCTTGGTGGCTCTTGGTTCAGCCCGCCTGTCAGGTGGAGAGCCAAGATCCTTCGATTATTGGAGGACGTGCACTCCCATGAGTTGGGTATTGTCGTGAGCTTCGAAAACTGTGATGAAAAGACATCAAGTCGTTCATGTTCCAGAAGCCAAGGTGAGACCATGATAGACTCTATCAGCTCCGTCGTTGGTGGCATCGGCTTGGTCGCTCTGGACCGTTGGACTCTCCCCAGCGTGCAAAGATTCGTGTGGCCAACCCCCCGAAATCGGTCGGGCTCTTCAGCCGAAGCGGACGCTGCAGGAGTTTGGCCTTTGCCTCCTTCGGGTTCTATTGTGGTGGCGTTGGGTGACCGATGGAATCAGGTAGGGAAGGGAGTAGGGAAGTGATGGCGGAACCAGAGTGTCAAGGGGGAAAAAGATTGCTCGAAAGAACAGATGTTTTTTTGTCAATAAAGACAATCGTTCCAATCGAGCCCCCCTTTTGGCCCATTATATAGGATTTAGATATAGGATTTATTTATATACTGTTACTCTTTTGAGGGTTTGTTTGAGGTTGAGTCGGTTGAGTTGAGGATAAATTAGGATCCATTAGTTCGGAGGTTATTTAGACATTCTCAAACAGGTTCTACCGACAGGGTTTAGTATAGGGTTTGTTGGTTTCAGAGTTCCATAACCGCAGGCAGACACCTATTTTGTCCGAAGCACAGGGAACTTCCAGCTGGGGGGATTGGGATCCAACAAAAGTCCACCTTCCTCAGCAGCACCAGGTCCTCCTTTGATGCTTCCAACTACTGGCTTTGCTTAGGGGTGATGGGTTGTTTTCCAGCTTGGGCGAATCAGTACATCCTCTGCTTCACGCCTTGGAACCAGCGTCCGCCGTCCGGATGAGGTCGGGAATCATCCGAGCATCGGCCAGCCCATCCTTGGCCGAGGTTTATCATTGGGTGTATGGGCCGATTTACACCTTCCTCTTCCTGCAGAGAGGCGTCAGTGCTTTGCCAGCCCGAAGCCCCGAAGCCCCGAAGTCGGGCAGGAGAACCATGTACTGTAGATTGAGGTGGCAGTAAACGGGTCTCAGTGAGGTCCGGTGGGTTAAGGCTCAATGAGGTCCGGTTGGTTTAAGTTGGTTTGGTTTGCAACTGGTCGAACTCTCCAGGTCGACGAAACTCTCCAGGTTGACCTGGTCGACCTGTCCGCAATGGCCTCCAACCCCTCCAAGAGTTTAAACATGCTTGAATGGATTTCGGAGAAAAGGTCCAATAGCTGGCCGCCAAAGAAAAACACCACCCCCTCGCAGTACTACCCTGGCCTGGTCAAGGATCGTGATGACTGCATATTTCTGGCCATGTCTTCTGAGGTAGACCAAGGAAACCCATTTGAAAGGAACATAGGCAACAACATTAGATGGAACAAGTGGGTCCCTATAGGCCCTATATATCATTATATATCTATATGTTGTTGGTATGTGTTTGTCCTATATATCTTTGTCACTGTCCTATTTGGCTCGGCTCAGAAGCAGCAACTCTTTGAACAATTGCAATCCTGTTGAGTCCAAAAGGAACACATATGCCAAATAAGATAACACATACGGAGGGACTCCCTTGTTTCCAATGTTTGTTGTTTTTGTCCAATGTGTTTATGATTGTGTGTATATAATGCTATTGATGCTATTGTTTGACAGTGTGTTCAACCATTTATCTTATTCCTTACTCTGTGATGTCCAATTCCGAGCCTCATTTGGATCAACATACCATAGACATGTGTTGCAACAAAAATCTAAACACATCCCAGCAAAATGATGTAAAAGAACGGTGGCACGTCTTTTATTATTGATCTTTTCGCGGAATGAATGTCGACTTGAACTGTTGATTGGTACTTCATGAACATCAGCCCAGGCAATTGACTCTCTCCAGTTCATCGCTATTTTAGGTTGGAGGCCATTGCGGTCGCAGTTTCTTTTGCCGTCCCGTCCCAACTGCTGTCTGCTGAGGTCGTCCTCTTCGACTATGCGGTCACAGCCCAAGTGCTTTATTTTCCACCCTACTACCTCTTACAGGAGAGGCTGGGAGTTGCATCTCCTGGGTCGGAAGCGATGTAAACTTGGAGGAGCATGGAGGAGCATATGATTCTTCTCTTTCTGTATGCACAGCAACTCATTGGCCACGATGGAGGGGCGAGGCTTTGATTAAAATTAGACGGGTGTGTGACCATGAAAGAGCAACCCGCGGCGAGAGAGTCCAATTGGATATGCGCTTGTGCAGTTGCGCAACTCACATTCAACAAGCATCCGAAGGCGAGCCATGGCGAGCAATCGACACCCATGGCGAGTCCCGCCGAATGGGTCTGTTGGTCACGGTTTTCAGAAAACGAGGACTCTCCAGCATGCAAAGGCAGCATCTGCAGTTGAGGGTGTTGTCGTATCTGTTTGCCGTTTGTGTGGTCTATCTACTCAAATTGGTGGACCCCTAATTCTGGTGGGACCGCGAATGTTTTGTCTCCAAACCCTAAATCCAACGGTCGTCCTCACGCAAAATGTGACCCAACCCCAAATGCAAGGGTTTGCGATCCCTCCTCGAAGCAGGTCCGTCTACCTCCTCGATACCTACTCAACTATGCATCCTTCATCATCCTTCTTCCTCAAAGCACCTCATTGGATACATTTGGATGCACTGCATTTCTTTTTCCCCCGCTGCGGTCAGCTGGCCTCGGATCCACCGATCCATCAGACTGGGCGGCGATCGACACACGACACAGAGGCCCTGGCCTTTGCTTGATTAGGGAGGAACCTTCCCCCCCTTCAGGCGCTTCGACCTCCGTTTTCGCGGCACTCGGTTTTCGAGCAACCCGCAGGATTTCATCCGAAGTGAGACACCCAGCTGTACCAGGGCTTTGGAGCAATGCAGCGCGCAACGCTGGGAGGACTTTCAGGCGACGGAGTTGTGCGGGGAGGACTTTCAGGCCCTCGCTGATAGGTTGGAGGTCACTGAACTACAGCGTCCTGCCGCAGATCACAACTAAGAATTTGCCAAAGCCGGACTGGGTAGTTGACTGGAAGGATACGGATGGACAGTATTGGGAATCTGTTCACTGTTGAAGGAATACATTCTGTTTTTTTGGATCCAGTAGGATCAGAGAAGTGTGTGAAGGCTTTCTTTGTTCTATCGCCGCGGAATGATTCTTGTTGCTGCCTACATACGTGCTTGTGAAGTGGTCAAGAGGAGCCTCAAAAGTGTTTGCTTCAGACCTGTTGAAATGGATAGGATATTGACTCAGGTTTGCCCTGGTTCAAACAACAAAACAAGAACTTTGAAGCTTTATATAGTATTCTTCCCGTTCAACCCATCGAACTGGTGTTCCACCAATTGCGCTTGACCCGCCTTCCTCCCCGAGGCACTGATCTCGGTCTTCCTCCCCCTCTCTTGGTTTCGTGGCCGGGGAATGGCAGAAGCTGGGCGGCTCTTCGAGTGAGGTGTATGTTTCCTCTTTCTGAGGTGAATGCCCCAAAACGGGAGGACGATTTGTTTATTGTCCTGCTTCCTGGAGCAGGGCCCAAGCCATAGACATGGCAAGAAGATGCAAAGAAGACATGAGAACCGATGAGAGGCGCATGAAAATCTGATACGGCATGCGAGCAATGGGCATGAATCCAACACTCTCTACTTTTTCTCTCTGTGTGTATCATTCTGTTCATTCTCGTATTCTGGCCGCATGAACTGTTGAACAAACCTGTTTTTCTTTCAGGTCTTTGGGGTCGTCCCTGCTCGGCCACCCAGGTTCAACTACAGCTTCGTCCCATCATGTTGGCGCGGCACCTTCTCCGGGGTCGCAGGACTTGTTTGGGCAATACGCCTCTCAAATTTGAGAGGTATAGAAGTATAGACAAAAAATGAATATATAAGATCATGTATGTGTCTATAATATGTTGTGCTTTGGCAAGTTTTTGGCTGGCGGCCGGAATTGGCTACCACGTGAATTTATCACAGCTATGGCAGCTATGGCCCCCCCCTTAGGTTCGACTCCAGCTATACAGGGAGGGCTTAAGTTTTCAACACATTGACCATCAAGTTCCACCGGGTTCAGATTCAAAGCTCCACTACACTTCTTGTGCTGCTGGCATTGAAGACCTTCCCGTCTTATACGTCGTGTACTGAGCCCCATCAAGTCCTTGACCGCATTGTGATGCAGCACGGTCAGTTTCGATTCAAAGGTCCACCAAGCTTGTTGCTTTGCCAGCAGGGAGTCTTCTTCGTAATGTGTTCAGCAGTCTTCCATTTGAATTGGCTGTCTTCACTCCAGACATGTCAAAGTTCAATGAACTTTTTGCACGCCTTGCAGCCAGCTGTCCATGAAAAAGTATGGCAACCTGGGCTTCGCCTGGAAACCCTTTGTGTTGCATGATCAGTGACCAGTTCTTGGCTCCTTTTTGTTTCATACACGTGTGTGTGTGTTGTCAAGCTCAAGTTCAGCAGGTTTGCATCCGTTTGGATCATGCCTGATCAAACAGTTGACCTAAGTAGAGGCTGGCGATGAGGCTAGTGGTTCAGACATGCTGTGGGAGAAAAACAAAAGCGTCAGGTAGAATGCAGGGCATACTACTTTGGTAACGTTGCAACCAAATTCGATCCTCATATAATTTGACATGAAATACCTTACGCTTCAAACAGAAACGACCGCATACATTACAGATTATAACAATATATAGCAATAATAAATATTATAAATACACTATAGTCGATCGAATATTTAGTTATATTTTAAATATATATATATATTTACTTTTGATTTATCTAAAAATTATAATTATATATATATAATTAATTATTGTAATAACGATTTGTATATATGGTCGTTCGGCCAAATTTTTAGTTAATTAATTAAAAAATACACAAAATAATATTAATAATATAGAAGGAAATAATATATTGTAGATTTTTATTATTAGGATTTATTACGAAAGCTAGCGAAGTTAGCTGGAGTTACTCTTGCGATAATAAGGTTTCTTTCGACCGGGTGTAAATCTTAACCCTTGATTTTTTAGGTCGAAGATACCCCCCCTCCTTTCCTTTCCTTTCCCCTTTCTTCTTTTTCTACTCTACTTTCTCTCGCCTCTTCTTTGTCTTTTTCCTACCTTCTTTTTTTCCTTTCTTCGTCTCTCTTCGTAAGTTCGATTCCGTCCTGTCGTCGTTCTTTGGCACGCGGTTAGCGTTGCGTATTTTACGGCCGCATTCTTACTATTTCTTTTATCTCTTTTATTTCTTTCTTATCTCTCTCTTTTTTTTTTTCTTTCTGTTTTTCTTCTTTATTTCTCGTCTTTCTATCTCTCTTCTCTTTTTTTTTTCGTAGGAGGATCCGGGCAAAAGGCTATATATAAAGGACTCTTTACCCCTGCCTCTAAAAAGAGCGCCGTGTTTTTTCCTACGTCGGTGCCCTCCATTTTCCCATTCTGGAGCGTTAGCTTTCGCTATTCGTATTTATTATACAGCATTTAAGAAAGGATTGTAATATATCGTAATCGTTTATTATATTCGGCATAGATCCCTTTTAGGATCCGATAGATATGGACACAACGACCGCAAAATCGATATAGACCGGGCAGATCTATATAAATCCCCTAGATCTAGGAATTGATTTATATTTTCTAATGGAATGCATCTCGTTCTTTGTATTATGCCACTTGGCTTGAGTGGGATAATTATGTACCTTTCGATGTTATAATTATTCAAGAAATCGAATGGATAATGACGAATGAATGGAATAATCCTTATTGACATATTTATATGGAATTGCTAAGTTTGTATCGATGCTGATTATGGTATGCATTAATATAATTTATAGAAATAATATATCTGTATATTAGGTTCCGGGTAGATTCATATAGATATGCTTGCATTTGTCTCGTCCCCCACGACATTTTGGCCGTATCTCAACAGGCGTGAAATCTAATTGGGGTATTTCCGCACTGCTCAAGAAGGGTTAGCAAGTGCGGACGTAACTTCGTGATTGCCTTGCGCACATTCCACTAGCACATATACTTCTACTAAATGCTGATTTTAATACCCCACTCGATTACAGTGCTGGCAATATATTTTCTTATTGCGAGCTGAACTTTTGACCGCGAAAGGCCTGTAGTATGTATCGTGTCTGTTTATGTATGCCATGGAATGGATTGTGTTTCGCACTCCTCCTTGGCGGCTGAAATTTAAAGTGTTGTGCTTCTTCCGCCACTCTCCTAGAATGGGATAGCTTCGCTATAGCTAATAATCAACGTAAGCCTTAGCAACAAGTTGAGGTTTGCTTGCAAGAGCTGAGAATAACCCACATGTACCTGTACCACATGTTGTTTGAAAGAATGAGCGAACATGTTGTTTGGAACAAGTTTAAGAAACCTTCTTATCAGTGTTCCAAGGCCACCGTCGAACAAGGCAGCCGAAAGGCACGTTGCGAAACTGGGTGTCACAGTGGGAGGCGGCGTCAATTGGTCAATAACGTTTTTCTTTGGTGGGCTGGGTGTAAAGATTATATCATCCATCCATCAAATCTCAGAACTTTACTGTGGACTCAGCTTGCCCCCTTGTGTAACACCCCGAATATCCAAACAATCAACTTGCAGTTTATGGTTTGCATGGGCCCGCCCAAAAATAGTTTTCCACGTACAAGTGCTGCAATCTTCTGGCGTTGGAATGTAGGAACTCCATGTGCCTCTGCATTCTGGAGTACATCTCCATCTTACCTTCATGTTCGTTTCTCTGGTTCAATTCGAATCATTTCTTTTCGAATTGCAATGAGTATTGCTTGGCTCGCAAATAGGATCTAGCCTCTGGCTTGTCATATTCGGTCACTTCACGAAGTTCTGCATCCGTGAGCCATCGTGATGTAGGTGCTGTCAAAGTCAGGTCTTCAAATTCCAGATCTCTGCTGCTGCCATGTGTTCTCATTGTTCCACTTGGAACTTCTTCTGGTGCTGTATCCATTGGTGTGGGTCCTTCCTCTTCGCTTTCGGGCTCTCTTGATTCGAGATCTTCTTCTCTCACTGTGATCACCTGACCAGAGTCTAACCTCACTCGTACTTGACCTTTTCGATCATCTTCTTCTTCTTCGCTCTCCCGTTTCACTAGGGTGTTGTCTCGGATGTTCAAATGCTGTCGTGTCTGTGCAGCATTCCTCAGGAGGTAACTCTTGATCTGCTTGTCAAGTCTTCTCATGTCGAACTCCTTGTTGGTATCCTGGATGTAGTCGCAGTGTTTCCAATCTTCTGCCTCTACATCATTGTCATCCCCATAGCCTGAAGCCTTGATCAGACCTCTGTGCACCTTTTCCACATACTTTCGTAGTTGGGCTGTGGCCTCTTTGGCCTCATGTCCATAGGTCCCAACCATCATGCCATCCATTTTCACGTCATCAACCACCTGTTGAAGTCTGGTCTCCATTCTCTCAAGCTTCTTTACCAATTTGTACAGGCTGAACGCTAGCACTGAAATCATCACACACAAGATCATGATGATTATCCATAGCCACCAGTTGTGATTGGCTGCGGAAATCTTCTCCTCCATCTCAATCCGCTCTCCAGTCACATGCCCAAGGCCTTCCAGCAGTAGGATTCTGTTCAGCAACTTTGCTAGCCTTTGGATCTTGCTTCTATTCACATTCCTCTCTTCAAGCTGTCGGTGTTCTTCTTGACCCAGTAGCTCTCCATCACTGCTGTAGATTTGGCACCAGTTCAGAATGATGTTCACTCTTGCCTTGGGTAGCGGTTTGGTACCCAAATCCGCCACGTTGGCCACTGTGCCTACAGCTTTGACTTCAAGATCTCCTTGAGCCACTGTGTCCTGAATCCACAACAATTTGCCTGCAATGTGTCGAAGCTTTCCAGGACCTTTCCTATGGCACAAATGAAGCGCTGCCGAGTTGTCAACCAAGCAGTAGTGCGTGACATTCTCCTCAATCAGGAATTCCAGACATCGCCTCAAGTAGATGCCGTCTGCAGTTCCACTCACCAAAGCATTCAACTCCGCTTCAGCTGAGCTGAGGGACACTGACTTTTGTCCCCTGGAACTTGTCAGCAACACTGCTCCATTCAACATGTGTATGGCTGCCGATGTTGATCTTCGATGTCCTTTGGCTCCTGACCAGTCACTGTCTGTGAACGTTTCTAGCAACCATCTTGACGTTGTTGTCCCTGTCGAATGTCCATGCCCCGGTTCTGGATATGGGAGAAGGCTATATTGTCCCATTGTTCCCTTCAGGTATCCAACCAACTTCCCAAGTTTCTTCAAATTTCCAGTCGTAGGGCATGATATGAAGGATGCAAGCTCTTTGATCGTGAAGGAAACGTCCATTCGCTCCTGGGAAAGATAGATGCCACATCCAACCAGTGAGCGAAACAAGCTTGCCAACTCACCTTTCAACAACGCTGTGCCATCTTGCTCAAGCATCTCCGGACCACAAGGTAGCTTCTGGACTTTAGCTTTGCCCATCTGAGCTTCATACTGCTCCACCATGCTTTCTGCATACTTACCCGGTAGGATCTTCAAGCCTTGCATTGTTTGCTCATATGTCCTCCTCAAGAAGGCAAAGGTGGTGCCATCTCCAGCCAAATGCTGTTCTGAAATGTCGAAGCTCCTCTTGATTTCTGGGAAAAAGGTATTCTCCAGATAGTCTTTGCTCCCTAGGTAAAGCACAGCATCAACGTCCGTACGGATTGGAAACCATACCCTTTTTTGCCTGTTCTCATGTCAAATTCATTGGTAAGCGCAGTGCTTTGTCATGTGTTTTGCCTAAATAAAAAATGTCTTTTTCGCGACACCTCAAGTTGCCTGCTTTTTGTGTATCTAGCTGTCCCCAGTCAGGCTCCGTGTGCAAGTCTTTTTTATCGATGCCATTGTCGAGCAAATCAGCGGCGGCGCACCCATCCGACATGGAGCCGCTACAACTACGCAACAAACGCCAACTCAACACCAACAGTCACCAACAATCACCAACAGGAAAGGACTTAGTTTATGTTTTTCGAAAAAGAAAACCTCAACCACACATTGCACCAAAGTGTGAACAACGAAAAACGAATTTCTAACACCTGCTCCCAGTTTACCCAGCCACGATCTGAACCCAAACCTGTTTCGTGAACAAAAGCAACTCAAGGGTCAGAACAATCACGAGTTAAGCCGTCGACGTACTATTCTAAAGAAAAAGGGCTGACGTACCACAAAGGAAGAAAACACAAAAACGAGGAGGACAAAGAACACCCGACAACCGAAACAACAAAACTAAAGCACACACCGTGGCTACGTCTTGAGCCTTCATTCTCATGAGACGTATGTGAAAATAAGAACGAAATTACAACACCCCCCCCCATGTTTTCTGTTTTTGGGCCCCCATTTACGCTATTGCTTCAACTTGGTTACAGTATCTTGCGATATGCTCTTACGCAATGCATTGACATGCCAGAACATTTGGCTCAAGGTATGTGCGTGTGAAAACAGCCGCTCGATCGCCTTCGCCCACTCGCTCTTGTGAACCTTGTTGGACTGTGAGTTGAATCCAGGGATACTATGCATTACACGCTCCACT